TGGCTCTTCTGTCTCCTGCACTCATCTAACTCATTGATCATTTGCCCACTGTGTGTACAAGTGCTTATAGGGAGGATGCCAAGTAAAATAAAAATCCTATAGACTAGTTCTACCCCAGAAATGCTGCAGACCTTGCACTGATGAGAAGCAGCTAAATTGTTGCCTGAATGTTACCTAGAAGCTAAAATGTACAGCAGATGAGAAAATAGTCATCAGGGAACACATGTGAATGGGCAATTCATTCTCCCTTTTGAGGGCTATGTCTGGAGGCTGAGATAATTTCCGGGATGTCCCTTCTATGTTGACACACTGGGCAAGAAACTTGATTGATGCTAACTTCCCTCTTACATTGACAGTTGAGAAGATGTAGTTGCAGTGGACAGAAGGGATTTTGGATTTGGTTTGGAGACTACCTTACAGCACTTAGTAAAATAATTTTACTTTTGGGGGTGGTTAGAATGAGGGATTGATGCTGACCTAGATGAAGACTGGTTCAATTTCAGGGCCTTGGGATAAGCTGGGACTTTCCATTTCATTCTCCTTTCCTAAACAGGATGGGTTTGGTTTTTAACTTTACAGTGTGCATTAAACAACCAGGTTAGTATAGTTGGAGCAAAAAAGTTTAATGGGTTATCTCTTACTGGGCAAGGAATAAATTCTACGTGATCTCCTTGATTAGAAAGTTCTGAGACCTCACTCAAAACTTGCACAAGAGAGAACTGGGTGGTGGATGTGTTCTTCTTTATTTTTCTATTTTTTAATTTTTATTAGTTGCTCAAGACAATACAGTGTTCTTGACATATCATACATTTGTTTCAAATGGGGTATGAATTCTCATTTTTCCACCTCCAATTTTATTCCTGAGCCTTTCTGTTAAACCACCTAGACTAACATGATGACTGGTGCTTCAATACACTAGATTTAGTTCTGTTTACATCTGTATGTAGACCAGGTCCAATGTTAATGTCCTATGCTTGTGCATAGCGCTGGGTACTTTTATCTGATATTTGGTGATCTTCCCTTTTTCACCCCATAAGCCCTCTTTCTGTGTTCTGTATTTTAGTGAGTTCCAATAATCAAAAATTACCACATTCTTTGAAAACACTCTCAGTAATGAGACTCAGGCCAGCTTAAGTATTCAAATGTTTGCTGGGGTAGCACTTTGTGTTCTTGGCCACTTTTCAGCATTCTCTATGGTCCTTTGTTTATTCAAAGATACACATCACAGACATGACACTGCCTCATCTGCCTGGCTTAGAAGACCTTGGTATTCAGGCATCTCCGCTGGAACTCAAGGCCATTGAAGTGCTGCGGCGTCATCGCACTTATCGCTGGCTGTCTTCTGAAATTGAGGATGTGAAACCTGCCAAGACTGTCAACGTTTAGTGCCCCTTGAACAGCCTTGATTTCTGGTGTCGTTTGGATCACCTGGCTAGTAAGCAACTTACATTCTTTAGAGGATCCTGTACATAGTGAATAAGATCCTTCTATTAAACATCCAGGAGTAAATTCTGCAGTGTTTTCTGTCTTGATTTATACAATAAGAAATCCCAGCCATTTAAAACTTGAATATAGTTTTCTTTAAATATATATAACAGTGACATTGTATATCATTTATCCTCTGAAATGTTAGAGGATTTGAATTCCCTCCTGTTGAACCACTTCTAGCATATGTTTTAGAAGACTTAGTTTCCCTTTTCATTGCCAAAATATTGATGATCCTAGAGGATATATGACTGACTTTTAGTTTCCAAATTAAATGGGGGTATATGCAATGTCCCTTAAGGAATCTGAATTTATTCATGCTAAGATATTTTTAAATTTTATTTTAAAGGTGTTTATACATTTGGGGGGGGGGAACCAGTAAGGGTATTTAACAACCTTGTCTATAGACATGGATTCTTAAACTCTTAAGAGTAGATCTTGGATCTATGCTATCTGAGGCCCCCACCCACGCTGTTAGGAACACTTTCACTTGGGTATACACAGATTCCTTTTCAATGCAAAGAGATGCTTCATCCTGTTGTTAGTGATGCTGACTCATACAAAATAGAACTTTTTGCATAATTTGATAATATTGCAGCCAAGATCCAAGTGAATGATTAGTTTAGCATTGGCAAATCCCTCAGCATATTATAGTTAAAAACTTCCATGATTTGTGGCAAAGTCTGTACATCATCCTAAGGGACCCAAGGTTTGTCATTGTTCACTGGATTTCAGTTCCCTGATCTGTATGCCAGGAAGGTAGGTAAAAACCCTGTCCAGTTATAGTAGTTTACAGAGGAAGGTACGTGAATGTCGAAGGGGAGTTTGTCCTCTCCATCTGTCCTCTCTGCATGTTCCAGAATCGTTTTGTCCTTAAGTGAGCAAGAGTGTGCTCCTTGGATCAGCAGCATCAGTATCACCTGGGAACTCATTAAAAGTGAAGACTCCTAGGCCTTATCCCAGACCTGTTGAATCTGAACCTGTATTTTAACCAGGCTCCTAGAAGGTCTGTGTGCACATTAAAATGTGAACAGAACTGCTGTCCAGCAGAGGTCCTACAGAGATAGTGTGCTTCCTGTTACTAATCCAGGTTGATTTTCAGCTCCACCCCAGGCCCACTGAGTCAGAACCTTGGAAAGAAGGGCCCTGAAATTTTATTTTTATTGTCATGCACACTAATATGTGAGAATCAGCATATTAGGGAAAGGAGACCAACTCCAGCTTTATATATTTTTCTTCAGAATAGATATTTCTTTTTATTTTGGATAATTCTCCCGTTGGCCATAAGCTGATCAGTAGGCACAAATAGGCAGATTTGATTTGAAAGAACTTCTTCAATAGTAAATAGTAATTCTGTAATGTACAAAATACTTAGTTTTTTCTAGCAATGCTATTTCTCATTTATTTTTATCATAATTTATGATGCTACGTATTTTTTTTTCTCTAAGACTATAATTCAACCAGGATATTTTTTCTTAAGTCATGGTTACTGTAATCTCTCTGCACATGTAATCAAAATATAATATAATGCCTTATTTTATAAAAGAAAGGAAAAATACACAATTAAGATAGTAAGGGTTTTTGTTTTGTTTTGGTGGTGCTGGGGATCGAACCGAGGGCCTTTTGCATGCAAGGCAAGCAGGTTACCAACTGAGCTATGTCCCCAACCTAAGACAGTAAGTTAAACAAAACATTAAAGGAAAGTAATATACAGCCTGATAATAGATGTGTGAGCACAGTGACATTGACAGCGAAATGAAGTTGCCAGTGGCTTGCATCCATCTGGGAACCACCATGGATGCTACACTAACAGATACAGACTGATTTGATGCTGGAGTTGGTGTGATTGGTCACTTTATACTGTGAGCTGCATTTTTTTTTTTTCTCCTTGTATTGGCACTTTACTACCAAGACTTTGACTATTTTTTTTTTTTATTTTGAGGCAGGGTTTAAGTTGTGAGGATAGCCTCAAACTTGTGATCCTCTTGCCTCAACCTCCCAAGTTTCTGGGATTATAGGCATGTACCACTGTCTGTAATAGCCCACATTGCTATTTGAAAGTAATGTGAATTTCTGCAATAGTAAATGACTTCTTGTAAAGTTCAGAACAAAATATAATCCTTCCTAGATTTACACTCTTATAAAACAAAGAATATATTAAGCCCATACCAAAAGATCTTTTATACCTGTAAAACAGATTTTAAGTTGGGATGACTATCAGTTGGTTTTTGAAAATCATGTAATAAGTGTTTCAGTTTTTTATTTTCATATTGTGACTCCATGGTATTTTCACTCTTTCCAGTTCCCTCCCATGGAATGTCTATAGTGTTCTTCAATCATTGTGATAATCAAATATTACACTCAACAGATTTCCAAGGAGTTTATACCATTCCTTTTGGTAGGTGGGGCTATGATCTATGCCATGGAAATCTTTGAAAGGCATTATGCTATACTCTTTTTTTTAAATGAAAATATGGAAATTTTAATAGAATGTTACTAATTTGGTTTAATAGCTTCTATATATGAAGGTGGATTGATTCATGCTGTACTCTTGTCTTGAGACTTGATTGGGATTAGGCAAGGCAACCATGGTTTAAAAGTCTAAAGCCATTTCACCAGAGGTTAGTAGTTCCCTGCCTATCTGCCTGTTATCCAGCACAGCACATAAAATCCTCTGTGGCTTTGCTATCAAGTAGGCCGAGGGCACACTATGCTTTCCCACTTTATTTCTGATTCTCTTCCCTCATTTTTCAGTCATTACACATTTGAAGTTCAGAATACAAAAAACTACCATGGCATCTTTGTATCTGGATGCTAACTACAGATTGAAAGCATAAACTTGCTGTGCATAATTTGCCATAAGTTAATACAATAACCAAATTTTTAATGGGTGGTTTTGCTTGGTTTCACTTCAAGGCCAGTTAGTCCCTCTTATACTGTTCCTTGATCTGAGTTGTCCAGCCTTACTTATCCTCTCATACATCTTCCTTAGACCAATGCTAAAGATTTCTCTTTCATTTCCTTTGTCCCTGAGAAATCATTTTGGTTAGTTTGGGCTATCCAGTGTTAGACCTCAGCTCCAAATCAAAATGCCACACAGCTAACAGACACTGAAGGAAATATTCCCTGGACCTCCATAAATAAAATGTGAACCAGGCTTTCCTAATCATTTCAGTTGAAGCCAAACCCCCTTCTCCTTCACTCCTTATCTCCTTTCTTTCGGAATCTTCATGTTTTCTGTCTTTTAAGGAATACCTAGCTTTTTAATTTTTCCTCACATGTCCAGGAATCTCCACCTGTATCTTGGATCCAGTATCCTGGATCCTTAAGCTGGTTAATTATCCACTTGGAACGATTCACATCCATGTCTCTAGCATTGCATGTTGTCATTTTAGATCAAATGATGCTGTCACAAGCCCCACTACTAAGGGATTTCATCTATTCAACCAACAAGGTAAGGGTTAAGGGAAGGAGTAACCCTGGAATCAGAGAA